TACGCTACGAATCTTACCGGTGAATGCAAATCGAGACTCGAGAGAATATTAATCGAGTCACGGATCTATATACACAATGGTCTGCAATGTATTAGTTTTCTCGAAACACACGGACTTCAGGATTTAAAATAGAACAATGCTGTTCTAGATTATTTTAAGGAATCTCTATATCAGGCGGCACGAGCAAGACTTTGCAACGTCAACGATAACACAGAGTAAAACCAGGCTGTGGAGATATCGTGAAACTTTTACCCCAGTGCTCTGATTTCAGAATTTAAAATAGAACAACGTTCTAGATTATCTGAAGAAACTGCTGGTTACCGAATTTGGAAACGTAAGCAAGATTCTGGTGTCCGATATTAAAATCGACGGTCTGCGATCGTTTTATCTCGAATTTAAAAATTTGTAAAGTAATAAAAATTTGCCTTGTGGAATTTAGGAAGACGTAAGCATTGTATCGTTTATAACGGCAACCGAGATGGCTTTGAGCCGTCGTTGAACGGAAGATTCTACGATGAATACATCGATAGTAACATTGATAGAATAAAACCCGGCAACTGCCCCTTTTAAGTCAGTCGGATTCTCGCGAATATTCGATTGGCACGGTGTCTGAGGCGATTAATCATCGTCATTATCCGGGCACTGCATTCGAGAGAAAGACGATGCTGCTGACGAGAGAACCAGCGCTGCCGTAGACATCAGAATGTCGTACCCTTGATCCCGGTACGTCGCCTCGGCGAACGGTTTACTGCCTATTCGGACGTGAATGGAAGATTTATTAACTCACATCGTATCGCGAATAATCGAATGTGCAATTTATACACAGAATTGACAAGGTGTTACCAGCGCGACGAGTAAAAAGGATTTAAAGGGAACCGACCAAGAAGAACGTCTACCATTTAAATTCAATCTTTTACCTGCGATAATTTGGCAATCATCATATTCTCACTGGCGACATGTCCTCCAAAGTCAGACAACAAATTCGCATAACGATCTTCTTCAATGACGGCACCGTGGTGATTTACATCTGAATCGATGGCGGTATAAGACCAAAGTGGGATTAACAGTGACGGATTGGTGTATCATGAGGAACTTCTGAAAATATTAAGGGGCAAGGACGTCGCGCGAGAGGGAAAAGGGAGAAGTAACTTGGTTGGCAGGACTAAAAAGGATAGGAAGAAAGAAAGGAGGAGTTAGCGACGGAAAGGCGAGGGCCTCTCTTTGAGCCGCCACTTAGAAAACGTTAGTTGAATCACTTAACCGGTCATTGCACTACGGCTGGGGCTGGCCGCTTCGACGTGACGATAAAGGAACCGATCGGGCGTGCACAGGATCGACCAACCACGAAGCGACTGCTTGGCCGCGAATAAAAAACGCGGTAGCGATCTAGCGCGACAATCAGGTCGAGAGAAAGTGAGCTCTATCGCGTGCAAGAGCATGCCTAAAGGATATACTTTCTGTGGATCTCTATGCGAGGACAAAGACCGAAATCGAGAGATTCTAGTTCTTTGCGGTCGTCGATGTGTAGGGTATTGCGTTTCATCATTATATATAAGTTCATTTTAGAGAAAGTTCAAGCTTGGAATCATTTATCACGCTCTTAATAATATGATATTATTTACTAATTATTTACTATTTCTCTCTCTCTCTCTCTCTCTCTCTCTCTCTCTCTCTTTGTAACTATATATTATGTGCAATTATAGAGATATGCATTTAAATTGTTAGTATTCTCTTAGTATTCTCTTGGATGTGTTAAGAAATATCATAGACTTTTGCGCCGAGTATGCGATAAATAAATCTTGTGGTCACACGTAATTCCTTCGCAGATGTGAACATGCTATTATAACTATCTTTGCGTTTATTATATATATATATATATATATATATAGGAATGTGTTATGTGTTGAATATGAAAAATAAGATATGCATGAAACGGGGGGATTGAATTAATGGGAATCAGTTGGAATGAAGCAGCGAAAATATTTTAGACGACTAGGATTAATCACGGTGTCCTTAAGATAAATCGTACAGATCCAGGAGAATCGATGAGAGAACGACGCTGATAAGAAAGAGAGAGAGAGAGAGAGAGAGAGAGAGAGAGAGAGAGAGAGAGAAACATGGGTCGTTTTCTTCCAGAAGCATTCGGATGCTGCTAGATTTAGCGAGCTATTTCGTTGGATGCGATCTGTACTTTCTAATCCAGCGAGTATTTTGCCTTTACCCGCACTGCCTCTTGCTAATAGGCGATCAGCTGGTGAACGATTCAAACGGTTGCAATTGAGGCCATCGTTGTGCTCATCGCTTCTGTAACGACTCCGAAGAAACATCTTTACGACGCTTCTATCTCAATTAAATTCTTCGTTCTGCCTAACGAAGTACGCCACTGTCAAGACACATTCGGATCATCGTGTGTCTCGTCTCTTTCCGTTTCAAGATAGATAAAACCGGATAAAAATAACATATATATACGCATCGAATTACCTCGACATTTCACCATACTTTTTTTTTTTCTCTTTGATAGGATTTTGCCGGACGAACCAACATGACGTGTTTCTTACCGTCCAAGCGAGCCACACCTGTGCTCGTTCCGGCGACGGTGCATTATTCGCGCAATTTCCACGCGCCGATTTTCAAGCGAGTAACGGTCGTTAACACGGTATCCGTGGTTTTTCTACCCCCGCCTCTGAAAATTACGTCCAAGCCGTGAGAGCGATGTAGAGAAGTGAAAAAGTTCCTTATTTCAATGTGTTTTATATTACTCAGAGAATTTCACTGTGAGAGTCATTTCCTGACGAATAATATTATCTGTGATTTACTATCTTATTCTCATCTTTGAAAACCATATCAAAATCATTAAATCAACACGCTCATAAGTTCCTAATTTCAGATATAACTTTCACATTTTTAAACAATGAATTAGTTCTATATTTATGTTCCGTTTTAAATAAATGCATTAAACCTGTGAAATAAACGGGAGAAACCGACAAAATTCCTATAATCTCAAATATTATATTTTTAGAAGATTTTGACGGATTATAATTAAGATTGTAACAGATTAATCTAACACTTGCATAGTAAATAAAATTATTATTATGACATTAGAAAACAATTTAAGAAAGAATTCTTTTTGATATACAAATTTATACAAGATATATAATCACAGCAAACTGCACTTCGCATTTTTTGCATTTTGCAACATGTTACAGAATACGTTAAGCTGTATTTTAAATATTTCCTATTGAATTTTCAATTACTGCGAACCTGAAATAAATGGAATCGCTAATATATTGAAAATAGTTCTTTGACACGCTATTACTTTCGTATGATATATTGAAAAACATTGAAGAAGACACATGTTTTTAGAATATATTTTATATAATAATATACTTTAAAGAGAAATTTAAAGAGAAAAATAGTGATCTATAATCAACCAGAAACGATTAGACTATATAAGATCATACAAAAGATATGTATTTCCCGCACAAGTTTTAATCGCGAATTATAATCAATATTGTTATATATTGTATAATCTATTACGTACATTGTTTTTACATATGCAACTCAGAAGAAAATAAATTTGATTATTATATTGTGATATTAATTTTGTGACGAATAATATAAATGAATTATTAATATTGGAATCCAGCTGTAAATGATTGAATCAAAATTAGTCAATGTCCATTTAAAAACATATAAAAATAATTATAATTAATTCGTTATTTAAGTTTTATTTGAGATTTACGAATAAAATGTCTAAAATTGTTAGTAGTACATTTTCTGTACATTTTCTGTACATCTTAATGTTTCCTTTGCGCAATTTTAAAATGCTTCAAAGTTATGTATTATGGATTTTGAACATTTTTATGTGATAATAAAATTAATTATATAACGTATATGTATGTATATATTATACTTATTGGGACGGTATTTATATATACATACATATATATATACATATATTGTATATATATATATACATATATATATACATATATATATAAAATTAAAATGCAAACATGTCAATATATATTAAGTCGATTTCTTTCGGATTATTTCCTGTTCTTTTGAGGGTTT